CGAGTATTTTTAATTCCAGGTTAGCTTTTAAAATGGTATTAAATATTCAGAATACATTTGAAGCTGACGAGCGTGATGAGTGAAAGACCTGATACTACGAAAAATGATCTTAATCTGTTATAAACAGCTCTTTTGACCTTGAAGACGATGGTACGTACGTGCATTCATCGAGAAGTACTGATTTCACTGGGCAATGTGCTCCCACGCGGTTCGATGCGCTCTCTTTCAGTCAATCATAGCGCTTATTGTAGCCTAAGCCACATGTGTGATGTAATTAAACAAGCAATGAACATGTATATAAACGCATTTCCGATTGTATATTGAATACCCAATCACCAGTAAAAAGAAAAGAAAATTCACGGCAAATACACTCATTTTTAAATCATTTTGGTTCTCACGAGAGACTCATTTGGATCCCTCGTTTATGATATTCCCCAGCTGAATGTACTGCACAAAGGCTGCATCGTGTTTCAGTTGGCACGATTTTCGAGATATTGCAGTATATTTTCATAAAGGAAACTACTCACAAGGTTCCTGAAAAATATTCGATGACTGGTTTCAGCCTTCTTAGAGCTATTCAGATAGACCAAGTCCCCGAAGATAGATCAAACGAGAGATTCAGTCGAGTCGAACCAAATTGATATGCAAATGAGTTTATTTGTCTAAATTTCTCAGATTCTGGTTCAAGTGGAACGTGCGGTTGACAGACTCGGGCAGTGCGCTCGCTTGATGAACACTAAGAATGACGAAACCTGTCGTAGGTGTCGACGAAATTTCAGCAAACTTTTGAATAGTTTCCCTCATGCAGATGAAATTTATTGATGATTTACCTACACGGTTGCTCACAATTTTAAAATCTGATCGCTTGATACTGTTAAACAACATTTAGGTCAGCCTCAGAATTCCATCGAGTCTTATAAACTGCAATGTTGAATTGACTGAGTGCTGCGATTTCAGCGAATCCGTAAACGCCTAAGTTCTGATGACTGATCCAAGGAACAAGCGCTGAGGTCAACTCAACCCAGTCAACTGTTACAAAAATTGGTTTGTCACTTGTTGACTGCCGTGGCTAAAATTCAAGTAAGAGTCTGGAAGTTTCTGATACCACCATGTTTACAAACAAAAAGGTGTACAAACTTGTGTGTACTTGTGTGCACATTCACAGGCTGAATGCGGAAGTAAAATGACACTTTGATAACGCAGCGGTTAGAAATATATCAAGCGGATTAAGTCGTCCTCACAAGGTCTACAAATCACCGTTTCCAAGCGTCCAGAACTCAAAAAGTCAGGAGGGGGAGAGAGACTGAGTCGAGTCCCCCTTGAGAACCAAATTGATTTGCAAATGAAAATACTTGTGGAAATCAGTTCAATTTGGGTTCAAGTAGAACATAAGGCTGACGAAAACCAGGGACCGCGAGGTTGGCACATCTGGCAACAAGTATCTTGATCAATCCATTGTGGATAGTGAGTACATTCCTGGTTTGTCAGAGTCCTCTTTGCCAGTGAAGTGAAAAGAGCGCCATCGAGAAATCCGATTCAAGGTTGCCGAGCTGTGAACGTCGGTAGGTGAACAGATTAGAAGTTAGTCATTTTGTGCGGGCAAATAAACAAAACGTTGTTATTGATTGCTCTAATACTTCTGTCCATAACGATGAAATTCGGGTAAACGGATATAGAGATGGGACCAAGATTATTTTCAAACCGTCCAATCAATATCTGCCACATAAGTCTGTGGGGTGGGAATTCCTTCTTGCTCTGTTTCTCGCTAAACTTTGAGATAAGATTGATTGCCAAAGTTCTCAATTACAGAGCATTTTATAACTGATGGCTTTTGGTGATTTTGAACCATGTCGCCACAGACTCATGTAACGTTAACAGACGAATGTGGGATATGTAACCGTGATACGACACTATCCTGTTGACTGTCAGGTTTCCAGCAGGGATGCAGTCCCATCAGTTTCTTTGCCGCGCCCTGAAAACTTCAAAACAAGGTTGAAAGTGAGTTGTAAAACGTGAAATAACTAGTTTCCGGATGCAATTCTAACCCTGTTTTTTGCTGCCTTCAGTCGTATGGCAAACTCATAATTTGGACAACAGATTCGCGTCCTCTCAAACTCTTTTGTTTGGATTAATTGCTCATACTTTCTAGAAAATTCGTCAAGTAATGTGCATCTACAAATTCTCTTTAATTTCGTAGAGATCAGATGTTTCCATTCGGGGGTATCTCGCTGGTTTTAGAGGACAGTGAGGTAGAGCAGGGTCGATCAGTTTTGCATCGATGCCTTTATGTGGCCCGTTAAGTTGAGGAAGCCTGCTGGTTACTGTTCAACATTTGCCTTTGGTTTTAAATCTGTATCCACTCAGTTAGGTGGCCAATCGTGTGCAAGGCGGTTCCACTCCGCAAGTTCGATCGTTTCGTTCGAGTGTGGTTAGTAAACGAGCTCAAATACCGCATAAAAATACCCATCAAGCGTCTGGCTAAAGTGTTATCTGTACGAGGTTTTACATAGTAGTGAACATGACCTGCTGAGCTGAGTACTACTCATTCGGATTAGGGTCTACCTTTACGATAGTAGCTCCAACAGGTAAGATTCACATGGACACCGAGAACAACCGGTTCTCCTTCTTTACAGTGTATCAAATCCTCCAAAT